GGGGCTGCCGACAAAGGGCTTTGATGTCGGCAGGGGAGCGTCCAGACTAGCGCGCTGAGCGGACAAACAGCTGATCAGCTGTTTGTCGGCTCAGCGCAACAGCCATTTAAATTTAAATGAAGCCGCGATCATTTAAATCGCGGCTTCGTTTGACTTTGCCAAATCAACAAATCTACATGGCTCCGTCGACGGAGCCATGTAGTTTAGACGTACCCTTACAGATAAACTTGGGCCACAGGGCCTTAATACCCTGAGTAGGGGATCGTGGGTACAAACTGAGGCTGTGGAGCCGTCCTATAAAGTGACGTGATGATGGGTGAGTCACCCAGTCAAAACAGAATAGGGTCGAGGGACCTCCAAGAGTGGGTAGTCCCTTGACAATGTGTCTATATTATTATTATTGACAGGTATTTTGAAATAAATTATGAAAATAATTGAAACTTGTGTGATTTTGTAGTATTATTTTGACAAAACTTTCAGAATTTAAATATGTGTGCAGAATTTCTAGTATTTTGGGGCAGATTTTTTTGGGGGGAGTGCAGAATGCCCTCAGCAGTGTGCCATCGAAAGTGGCCCTCTCTGTGGTTGTTCTCTGTGATAAGATTGTCTGGTGCTTATAGGAGCATAAGTGCTGTGTTGTTGCTCCAGCGCTGTTCTGGAACACCAGTGCTACAAATCCATCCACTGTATCATGCACATTGTTGAGATTCACTGTCATGCATAGCAGGAGATGATTAATGGCCCTGTACACTTACATGACAACAGTCCCCAAAGTGGATTTTCCAACTCCAAAGTGATTTCCTACTGACTAGTAGCAATCCAGCATTCCAAGTTTCTACAGCGTGATCACCACATGCTTCTCCACCGGCACTGCAGCTGTCATTTTGGTGTCCCTGTATCAGAGTACTGGTAAACTCTGTTCACACATCTAGGAATGTGACCTTGCACATCTGAAAGTTCTGCAGATACTGCTTGTCATCCAAAGTCTGCACTAGTCTAATCTTGTTTTTCTGGTCTTGTAGGGATGCTTCACTAGTTGTCACTGTCTGTGAACACCATCAACAATCTTGAATTGTTTCTTGCTATGCCCCACAGCAATTGGCTGTCCAACAAATTGTCACTTTCCCTGTGAGTTTTCTTGCTGCTTTACCAATACAGGAAGACCATGCATTTTGTGCTTGTCACATTTATGACAATAGGTCAGAGTTGTACAGATTCCACGCTCCTGTCAGAGATGGAAAGCATGAAACACCACACAGTGTTGTAGGATTTTTAATAAAGGTGCATGCAAAAATTACGAGATGTAGATTACTTTATGGATTGGAGACAGTTGCATATTGAGAAACTGACCTCTTGCTCCCAGTCACACTTGCACCTCAGCATGCATTTCCAAAACTTCCCAAAAGACCATGCATAGGATGATGGTGGATTGCTTATGGTGGCACATACCCAGAGTGCATTGCCCTGTGCATTGATGCAAACTCTTCTGATGAGAATGAATGCTGCTTATACAAGGAGTCAACTAGGTATGTGCTGACTGTGGCAATTTGCATGCTGACATAAATTGTCAGCTAGTGATATGGTCTTGGTTACTAGTATTCTGTGAAATTTCATGTCAGCCACGAGGAATCTAAGTTATATGTGTTAGACATTCAGTGTTGGCTTTTTATATTGAGAAAATAGATCTTTCAAAAACTCACCGAGTTTTTTTAAGCTTCTTTGTGGAAAGGATTGGGGTTGTAAGATCATAATAATAGATTGCTCTCCTAACCTTGGAGCCCATTCAGTGGGCTCTTTCCATATCAACAGCTGTGCTGAGAAAAACCTCCAGTTTTTGACATCTTTAAGGCAATTACATGCCTAGGTTTCTGATGCAGATGATATTTGAAGTGGTTGTATTTTAGTTTGGTTTGAATAGAACTCTGAAATACCTACCATTACAGCTGAATCACTACTTTGGAGGCACCTAGAACAGAGCAACCACAGGGACAAACAGAGGAGTCGTTATTTATCTGTATCATGTTCCACCATTCCCCGCTCCCCTCCGGTCTGTTTCAAAGACCTTAGTTTAAGCTGGGTTCTATGTTAGAAAACAAACTGTATCACCAGCTTGTCTCTCACTAGCGTATGTACCCTGGATAAAGTGCATGAGGCACTTTAAGGCACATGTGTGGACTAAGCAGACAGTGCTTGCAATAGCAACAAAATCTCTCATTGAAGGTGCATTGGGTACATGCACCCCTTGATGAATTCCAGATACTGAACAGGAAAATAACTTCTCCTTCTCTTGAAAAAGAACTCATATGTTTGTAATGTTTTCATTAGGGCTATGTCTAGACTGCAGGCTTCTTTCGAAAGAGGCTCTTTCGAAAGCTTCTTTCGAAAGAGCCTCTTTCGAAAGATCGCGTCTAGACTGCAGGCGGATCTTTCGAAAGAGAAATCCGCTTTTTCGAAAGAGAGCACCCAGCGAGTCTGGATGCTCTCTTTCGAAGACGGCCTCTTTACATTGAAGAACGCCTTCTTTCGAAAGAGGAACTTTCGAAAGAAGGCGTTCTTCCTCGTGAAATGAGGTTTACCGCCATCGAAAGAAAAGCCGCGTTCTTTCGAAATAATTTCGAAAGAACGCGGCTTGAGTCTGGACGCAGGGGAAGTTTTTTCGGGAAAAGGCTACTTTTCCCGAAAAAACCCCTGAGTCTGGACACGGCCTCCGGGTGTAAAATCCCATTTAATGATTTAAATGGTCAAACGTTATGTTTAACGAATTAACTGATTAAGTGGGATCCCATGGGCATGGGGTTGTTGTAGCCCAGCCAGGCTGGAGGCACCGCATCCACCCATGGCAAATTGTACCAGACCCAGACAGAGCAGCCCCAGCTCCCAGGGCTGCTGGCTCCCATGGGGCTGTGGCTCCCACAGGACTGCCAATTAACCTTACCGAGTGATGCTTACTTATAACCGGTTACCCAACCAGTTACCCATTCACACCCCTAGTTTTCATTAGGTTAACCAATCAAACATTCAGATTCAACATAACTTGGTTGTCGGTAGCTGAAGCTCATTCTTCTCCATACCTACTCATTACAGAATTCAGGGTTTCTTTACAGGGTCCCCTCCCCCAAATACGTCCAAGATACATTCAAAGCGGGGAATCTTTTTCCCTGCAGCTGACTTTGTCTTATTAGTCTTATTTATTTGGTGGGTTGGTTGGTTGTTGTGCGGTTACCAATAATGCTAGTGAGGAGCCAACATATTCCGGGGCGACTTATAGTGGGGACGTCCTGTACATTGTTCTGGAATACCCATGGGATAGATGTACCTTTTTAGAGACAACCTATATTCCCAGTTTAAAAAAATCATGTTTGTGCACATGCTCTTCAGTGTGAAAAGAGTTAATGATTCTGTTTTCAGTTTCTGGTAAACTAGTTGAAGTTCATCAAGATGTGATTAAAAAACTGTATAGCATGGCATGTCAAGACAAATTATTCAGAATGGTGCTAGCAATGTTAAATAATAACTTTATTTTGGGCAAATCTGTGTGATTATTTTAGGATGTAAGAAAACATTTTTGTAGATCAATCAGCTGATCACTTTTAAATTTAACACCAGACCCAAAATAGGTCAAAACTCAAATATAATTTTATGTCAGCAATATCTTGCATATACATTAGAGACAGAATGATTATTGAATCATCATATTTTGAAATCTATTGTAGGTTTTTTTTATTTCTTTTAGTGTCTCCTGAGGCAGTTGGATTTCTGTCAGCTGTTGGAGTGTTCATTATCCTCATGTTTCTTCTTTTTCTATATATTAATAAGAAGATGTGTTTTGAAAATGTTGGTGGTTTCCCAGACCTTGATTCAGGATACAGTGCAAGGAAAAATTCACAAGACAAACTTTGTAAGTATATGAAATAAATTCTACTCAATTTAATTATGTAAAAGTTAGACAGTTTTATAGTTGGACCAAATGAGATCTATTCTCAGTAAAGTTTGATTATTGTGAGCTATTTGGAGGAAAGGCAGTCTCTGTGACAGCTTGCCCCTGGAAATTCTAGAAATCTCCATGGCTATATAGCCAAAGAGATTACCTTTGCTAATGAGAAGATCATTTTCCCTCTCTATGCTCTTTGATATTGGATATGTAATGCAGATTGAAACATGACATGGTTGTCTATAATTGAACTTCTCAAATAGATGTAAGTGAGCCACATTGTTTAGTTCACACTCAGCATACTGAGTGAGTTCTCCGGTATCCTTGAACAGGTAGCTCATTCAGTTAGTCATACAAGAATTTTCAAGGAAATCACTCACCAGAAAACACAAGGGCTTGTCTTCCATAGCTAATAACTCATTTCTAGAGCATGCTTTTATGTAAAATAAGATTAAGAAAGCCCAAGATAGTAACCAGACTGTCAAAACATTATTAGAGGAACTAGCCTATCAAATTTCTAAAGGGGGCAGAGATACACATATTTTATTTCTCTGGAATTGGAGGTTGGGAAAATGGCTTTTGGGATGGAAAAATTTCAGATCGCTTTGCTGGCTCTCTTGCAAAGAGGAGACAGGCCTGCGGGTAAGGGGGTATAGAGGATGGGAGATATGTTTATTTTACTTGGACTGATCTTTCCTATCTCCTTTCAAGTTGCTTTCCAAAAGGGAGGGTTATGTTTTATTTTCTGGGGCCGGGGCTTTCTCTCTCATGCCAGCTGTGGAACAACTGTCTGTAGTCCAAGATTATCTTATATTGCTGAAAAAGCAACACATATTTTGAGGTGACGAAACCTTTTGGGGTGTTTCGGTTGTGCAGCTATTTTGTTAATCTACAGTAGTTCATTGCAGTGTAATTAATATAGTAAAAGTATATAATTTTAAAATGTTTAAAACTTCTTCTTTGCAGGTATAGAATAAAATACACATTTCCCCTTGTTTTGTTGTATTTTTGAAAACAAATACTCATTGTATTATGGCTAGTTGATACTGAACTTTGATGAAAAACTACTTATTTTGAAGTGGAAAAATATTGTTTTGTTGACTTTGGCTTCAATTCAAAGATCTTTTTTTTTTTACTTCAATTTATTATTTCCTTCAGTACATACAGAATTTTGGGCATGAACAAATCTGCAATTGCTTCAGGTAGAATAGTAGGTTTTTTGGACATCGAAACCAGATACATGTAAATTTGAGTCTCTTGGGTAGGTGACAGATTCACAAAACTGAAGACCTTTCTACCAAAAATAATTTTTTGGTTAAGATTGGACAAATGGCATTTTTCAAAAACTTTCAACCAAAATTGAGCCTTCCTTCTGTGTCTTCTCTTATGGATGCCCTTAGCAATGCTGTAGATGACCTGACCAGTGCTGTTGGAGAGGTCAGTTATACTGTAGCTGATTCAGTCACAGAGCAGGTAACAAGCTTGATAAATGGCCTTCGCACAGATGATGAAAACTCTGGAATGCAAGAGGATAAATCTATGCCTATTAAAGAGGAAAATATAATATCATTAGTAGTTTCAAATGAAACTAATATGGAGGAAAAAAGATGTGTTGCAGAAGATCAACTAGAGCAGATTCATTATTCTAATTCATTAGATTCTTTAAAACAACTGAATCAAGTTAAAATGTCAGCTCATGTCCAGGACAAAAGACAAAATCAATTAAAATGGGGAGATGCTAACAAACATTTTAATAGTATGGATGTATCTGAGGACATGAAGAAAGTAGGAAGACACATTAAAAGCAAAGGAGCCACTGGAAATACATACTTGGAAAACGAAAAGAATAATTTGAGTACTAATGAATTTAACTCAATAGATGACTCTGTTATTAAAGACCTAGGTAATGGGTTACATGTAGCACTGGAGGATTCTAAGAATCACTCGCATAGAAATGTCAAATCCCAATCTTCAGTGATTGATTTTCAGAACCCCAAAGAACATCCATGTACAAATGGATCCAAGGATTCAGAAGCAAAAGCAAATGAAGTACAAATGCAGAGATTATCAGAGTCAAATTTTAAAAAGGCACCTAGAGATCATCCTGATTGTGTTAATGAAGTAAAAGAAAAGAAATACAAAACTTTTTCTGATGGTAATAAACAAACCATAGTGAAACATGAAGAAAATTCAGCAACCACATTTTCAAAAGAAGGTAAAAAGAGAAACTATAAAGAATCAGAAAAGATTTCAAGAGAAGTAAGTAACAAGAAGACACCAGGAAAAGGTGAGGTGTCTTTCATCAAATTTTCTCCATTAGGCCTTTCCTGAATCTTTTTCTACATACTACTTTTACCACTTAAATCATAGACTTCACTTGAACGCTTTTTAAATTGGACCACTTCACAATACATTTCTTTTCTAGGTAATTTATTCTCCAATTGCCATTATATTTATTGAAAACCAGTTAATTTCTTTCTATAATTGGAGATCCAAAGGCTTTGGTTTGCTTAGCCAAACCAAAAGAAAGCTATGGAGAGATATTATTGTTTTCTATATATACAACAGAAGGATAAAAACCAGCATGGGAGAGGAGATAAAGGTAAATACCAGTGTGGACACAAGAGTAAATGGATATAAACTTACCATAAACAAGTTCAGGCTTGAAATTAGGTGAAGGTTGCTAACCATCAGAGGAGTGAAGTTCTATTAACTTTGAAGGGGAACAGTGGGAGCAAAAACATAACTGACTTCAGGACTGAGCTTGGTAAATTTATGGATGGGATGCTATGATAAGATTGTCTACAATGACTTGTAGCCAGTCTGCAGTTGCTAGCTGCACTGATCATGGGACACTAGATGGGGGCGGCCTATTAGTTACTACAGAGAATTCTTTCCCAGATGTTTGACGTGTGGGTTCATTCTCAAATGCTCAGAGTCTAATTTATCAGCATACTTGGGATTGGGAAGGAATTTTCCTGAGCGTCAGATTGGCAGAAACTCCGGGGCATGGATTACTGTCAGGTTTAAACTAGTGTAAATGGTGGATACTTTGTAACTTGAAGTGTGTTAAACCATTTTTTGAGGAATTCAGAAACTCAGCCAGAGGTTAGGGATCTGTTATGAGAGTGAGTGGGTTTGCAGAAAGTCAGATTAGATAATTGTGATGGCCCCTTCTGATCTTAAACTTCTATGAATCTATTCTAGTACTCATAATTAAATGCATGTCATTTATTCTAAATTTCTTTTTTTCTAAATAAAAACTGTTTTGCATATTCTGAAGTGCTTTGTGTGATTTCTGTTAGATACTGGGAATTTTTCTCTAGGTCTTTGTTTGGCTCTGTTTATTTCAGAGGCTGTGGTCAGATTATGTAAGAGAACTTTTAGTGCAGCAAGCTGCGCTATATTGTCTAGGAACAGGTTCAAAGCATCTGTTGCCCTTAATATTGCATGTGGATCAGGGCATATATATATGTAATTGAGATTTAAATTTATTTTTCTAACATTTTATTTAAAATATTTTCTCAAACAATAAAAAATTAATTGTCCATTTATTCTTCAAAAGTAATTAAATCAAATTCTATGTTCATTTTCTTTTTTAAAGACTTCTTATAAACCAGGTTTTTGAGGTTTGAAGAAACTTTCAGATGGGATTTTGAAAGAATGTGAAACAAAAAACTGATTTTTAAATTTATTTTGTACTGCAGTAGAAAATTTCCCAGAGTTTGTTTTCTAGTTAAATAACACAGTAATTTTAGGATAGACTAATCCCTGACAAGTGGTAATTAAGGAGTCTATAGACTAACAAATTTTGCAATCTCCTAAATTGTTTCTATGGCTTGAGTTAAGGAAGATTACAATCTGACACACAAATTTTTTTGTGTGGTCTGTTGGTAAATATAGTTTTAGGGATGTAAAAATGCGGTTAATTTCCCAGTCGAATACTCGATAGATTTTCTGTTGACTGTTCAATTAGTCGACAAGGGTAGGCAGTTGTGGTGCTCACTCTGGCTTGTACTGGTTAACAGCACAACCTCCTCATCTGCTGCTGTGCATTGTGCAGCCCAGGGAAACTGGTTTGCGAAGGTGCTAAGTTAGTCCCTGCTCTGCGGGTCTCTTTTCTCACACACATACTCTCTCCCTCTCTCTCTGGGATCCCTCAAATGGAGTAAGATTTCCCCTTGGACTCCTATAACTGATGAGTGTGTAGATGAGAAATTAAGCTAATTCTGGCAAGGGAAACTTTCTGGCAGTGGCTGCATGTGAGATTTCTATCTCCACCAGTGCCAACACCAGTGGTGCCAATATGAGCCTGGGCATGCTCCTTCCATCAGGCTCTCTGATCTTCTTTATGGAGATGTTGTTTGACCTCAAAGTGTTGGGCACCATTCTTGATGGTATGTCCTCCAGGTTACCTGATCCTTCGCCTGCCTCTTCCAGGTGTCAACGTCAGTGTCATACTTTAGCATGGTTTTCTTAAGAGCATCCCTTTAGCGCTTCCTCTGCCCATCATGAGACCTCGTCCTGATCCTCAGCTGAGCATAGAAAATCTGTTTAGGCAAGCATGTGTCAGGCATCCTAACCATGTGACCAGACCATCGTAGCTGCCTGTGGGCGATTATTGCCTCGATGCTGCAAGAGTCAGCCTCTGCGAGCATGCTAACGTTGGTCCATCTGTCCTGCCTTGTGATGCTCAATATTCTCCTCAGGTACTTTGATGGAATTTCTCCAGATCTTTAATATGTCATCTATAGGGAGTCCAGGCTTCAGCTCTGTACAGCAAGGTTGGGATGTCTAGGGCATTGTAGATGTCAATCATGGTTTGCATCTTGATGTCACGGTCATTGAAAACTCACTTCTGTAAACATCCATAAGCTTCATTGCACTGGAGAGTCAATGGCGGATTTCATCATCGATTATCAGCATTGCTGGACAGATAGCTTCCAAGGTAAGGCAAGCTGTTGACATTCTCCAGCGCTTGGTCATCCACCGTGATGATTGGTTCGGATAATGGTATGACAGGTGTTGGCTGAAAGAGCACCTTGGTCTGTCGTGTATTGAGAGTCAGTCCCAACCTGCGGTAGGCCATGGCAAGAATGTTGATGATTGCTTGGAGCCCATATTCTGAGATGACACTGACCTGGGCATCATCAGTGTATTGGAGTTCTACCACTGACATTACTGTGGTCTTGGTCTTGGCTCTGAAGTGGCCCAGATTGAAGAGGCTACCATCCATCCTGTAGGTTAATTCAACTCTGCCTGGGAGGCCATATCCAATAATCTGGAGCATGGCTGCCAAAAAGATATTAAATAGTATAGGGGTTATCACATACAGGTGTTTGACTCCAGTCCTTACATCAATTGGTTCAGTTACGTCACCATTATTGAGTATCACGGCCTACATGTTATCGTGTAAGAAACGTAAAATGCTGATCAATGCTGGACTGACCACCAACTAATACATTCCATTATGCCGCTCCAACTAGCACCAAGGCATGTTCTCACCTCAACCCTCTCCCCCCGCCCCCCCAAAAAAACACTGCAAGAAAATCAACACAGAGGGTGTGTCTAGACTACATGCCTCCTTCGACGGAGGCATGTAGATTAGCCAGATCGGCAGAGGGAAATGAAGCCGCGATTAAAATAATCACGGCTT